ACGCCCTGTGGCAACAGTTGCAAGTCGAATAAGGCAAGAAATGAGGCACAAGCAATACCTGTGAAATGTGCTGGAAAAAAAAGGTAGAAATTCAATTCTTAAAAACTATTTTCACAAGGCACACAGACCACGTTGGGGGCGTGGCATATGAGATTTTAATGCGGCTAATGCAGTTGCCATGGCTTTAAAGCGCTTCACGTTGACGCAAAATTGTTTGGCAATGATTTCTAAATAGCCGCTTACCAAATTGCAAGCAGCCGCCCTCTTTGGCAAAATGCAGTCGAAAGGGCAACTAAAATGAACTGCTGCAGCTGCAGCAGGAGATGGGTCTGCGTGGTGCGTTGATTTGAGTCGGAAAATGCGCAGCAATTGAATGCATGACGGCCAAAAATGCGGATGAATGGGATGGGGTGGCATACAAGCAAAGCTCTTTGCCAGGCGATTGGCAGCCAGTTGTTGGACAGCCAAAGGGCCAGCATAGCACAAGGATTAAAAACCAAATGGCTCTGCCGAACAAAGCCCCGGCCGTCCAACGTTCTGGCAGTCAATGTCAATTTCGTGGCATTTTTGGCTGCAGCCTCTGCCGAATATCCCACAGCATTTCGCACTATTTGCGCCGGCGGCTGGATCATAAACCTCTTCACTTGTTGCAATGGATGCGGCTCTAATAAAGCAGCTTAAAGTACAATAAAACTCACAGCAACTCTGCATGAGGGTACGACAAAAGCCAAGGCAACTCTCTATTAGAGCACAGCTCGAGCCATGGCAACTCTATTTGAATGGGGAAATTTACAAGCCAAGTCCACAATTAATATGTCGAGGTAATATTAAAAAGGTTTATCTCCATTACAATTATCTAAATTCATATTGTATCTAGGCATCTTTCATATAGTACAGAAATAAATGCAGACAACTGATTTAGGTGGAAAAAAAGAAATTAGTAGTAGTATTGGTATTAGAAATCCCAATCAATTTAATGTCTACACCTCCTTATTAATCAATCAAGATTTGAATCTTGCGCTTGCTCGCAAACTATAACCTGGAACCTTGTTTATGCAGGCAACACAATATGAATGCGTACGATTACCCTAATTTAGATATTTATTTTGTTAAATTACATGTAATTTTGATAAAGCAGAGGTTATTTATAGTTTTTCTTGTTCGTTATGACTTACATTATCCTCGGCACGACCGACTTCAAATGTAGTTAGTTATTGTTTCGTAGTTTTTCTCAGATTAACTGGCCGACATATTTATCAAAGCACATTATAACAAGCTGTCCTTTGAGCAATGCTGATAAGTGTCTCAGCACTCAAACCTATTAATAGTTATGGTCATTAGAAATGAAAGTGTATATAAATCCTAATCAGTTGCTTAATCGAATATGAAGTTTTTAACAAGTCCTCTTCCAATTCGATTTCTTCTGCTTATCAAAATCATATGTGATAACGAATTGCGAGCACCTAAGTTCGCGATTTTTTTTATATATAACCTAATTCTTATGAAAAACAATCCTATGGCATCTACACTTCCCAATATATTGGCAGTTTCGATATCAAATGGCTTTAGTTAAAAGCTTCAGCTTAAACTGAAATTATCTATGCTCAAAAGGATGCCTTATAGCACCTGCTATGCCCACTGTTCTTCAAAATAATTATCTAACTTATACAGCTGGCGTAGGGTATTATATGGTCAGTGATAATTAGTAGCAGCAGCAGCAGCTAATTGCAAATGCTCAAGAGCCGAGCCGAAGAGCAACACCAGTTGAACTCTGTTGGCACGCATAAAACTAACGTTGACTGGCGCTGACCCGCAACTAACTGCAGCTCGAGTAGACCACGGGCCACGCCCACAGCTGTTGCGCCCAGTTGCGCCTGATGCCTGACAAGCTTTTAATGGCACTTGCAATGGGAGTCTCTCGAGTGCCATTGCTGGGGCTTAGCCGTGCAGTGCCGAGCAGCTCCATTTGCTTTGGTTATGCTTGGCTAGCAAGTGCTGCTTGTTGTTGTTGTTGTTGTTGTTGTCCATTGACTTGGTCAGAAGCACCGCAGCTGTTGGCCAATCGGACACGTCTAAATGCACTAATAACGGTAATGATTTGAACTCGGGAATACGACGCAATGGACCCAACGGTGCATGAATTCAATTTTAATACAACTCGCAAGTGCAGACACAGACAGACAGACAGACAGACAGACAGGCGGACAGATGGACGCTTCGATTGCCATGGCAGCAGACGCCACAAGAGGCAATTGTGTTGGTTGACTGAAATTATTTTTCGTTGATTAGAATCAACATAAATAAAATTAATTGTTGCCGCTTCGTCTGTTGCGTCTCTCGCCATCTATTTCGCTTTTGAGGGGTTGCATTCAATTTGATTATTAGCGTTCGCCCTGCAAGAACCCACTCGAGTGTGCCACAGGGCAAGTGCACTCAGTGCCTGACTGCTGTGCCCCCTGAGGGTTGCTCAGCTCGGGCTTGGACCCTTTGTCGCTGGTTAATTTTTGGAGTCCTGAGTCGAGATGAACGCGTGCCGTGAAAAAATTCTACCAAATTTATCCAACAACTTGCGTGAAAACTGTTTTATGGAATACTTAAAATAACTGCAAAGCTAGTGAAATTTTGAAAAATAATTCCACCTGATATGAAATTAAATGTATTGTTTTTTTTTGCAACATTTATTTCTGAGCACAATGAGAACTCATTTTAATCGCACGACACGCGCTCATCTCTAGCCAAGTCTGGCGGGTCGTGCGTCCCTTGGGATTCGTTCAGCCAGCGAAATAAGTACTCGTAGTTATAATTTATTTACGCAGCTCTCGTCTGCCTGGCTGCATAATTTTGGGCTGGTTTTTTAATTGGTCAACGACTGGGGAAACTTTATATCTATCGATGTGATTGCCGGGCGCTTCAATATGTCCAAAGTGTGTACACACAACACTTGCAACATTTTGCATTCGTGCATAAATTGTAAGCAATTGTTTCCTGCGTCAGGACTGACATTATGCGAACCAGGAGTTGGCTGCTGTGGCCAGGTTCATGCGTGCCAGCCGGCGTCGCGATTTTACATCGAAAAATGATCAGGAAATTAAACACCCCACACAGGCCCCGCTGGCTGAAAATGTTGAGGATGAAGATGCGCGCTCCCCCTCATCAGCATGCGGCTGGCATAATAAGTATGCAAAATCTCTCTGGCAGCTGCAGCGGCCCCCATCTGACAGTGCTGCAACGTGGTGCCGAAAGCCATAAATTACACAAAACTGACCACCAGCCGGGGAACCAGCAGAAGCACCCGGCAGCATTAGTTGCCAGCAACTGCGCACGCAATGGGTCACTTCTGCGAAAGCAGCTAGGGAAAAAGGGTACTGGTCAGCTTATAATATGCAAAATATGCCGTAGCCAGACCAAGCAGCTTCCCCCTGATGTGCCTGTGGCAGAGTTGGCGCTGCACAAGAGCCGAGTAATTAAACGCGTTGCCAGTTGGCCTCCGGATGGCCCACTGAAAAAACATGCACCAGAGTTGTCAATGCTTATGGGCACCACACAGCGCAACTCTATGCTTATTGTTATGTTTATGAAAATGCATTCGAATACCCTACACCATATGAGGTTGTTCAGTGCTTCATGCAGATAGTGCAAGGCTTTGCCCTTTAATCAATAGGCACTGGTCTTTATTTAGTATGCATTGAAATTGCATTCAAATATCTTACAGAAAATAAATTTCCTTGATACCTGTCTAGTGCTGTGTGCATGTAATAGAAAGCTCTGCTTTTCAAAAATATATGTAGCATACTTTTCAACGGTCGGCAAAAACAAAGCCTAAAACAACAGGGCCCAACAACACCAAACACCTACACACTACACAAGCTGAGATTTAATTTCATTTGAATAAGCTACGCATATGAAAAATACAACTAAATTCCCTTAGTAATAGTTGCACACGCTGTGCAGCTCTGGTCTTTGATCAATTTGTGTTGCCTACTTTCCAGCGCTCGACTCAAATGCAGCTTGATGCAGCTTGATGGGCTACAGCCCAACAATAATTGTTATGCATTGAAATTACATTTGGAAAACTCGGAACACAATTTAAAGCCAAGCCCGAGCCGAGCTAATGGCATATACAGTCCATTTGTAGCACTGCTCTGTGATCAACAAATATTTGGCCAAATGTCGTCCGTTTGACTGCATGCAGGAGACTCTGCTGCTGCAGCATGTTACCCATGCAATGTAACCACTGAGCCACTGCCACTGCCACTGCCACGCCCACTGGAAAATCAAGTCATAGTCATAGACGGGCGGCTGTTGAAATGTTTTTCGGCAGCATCAGACGCAAATTGCATGGAAGCTGATTGCGGACGAGATGTTGTTGCTGTGGCTGCTGTTGCTCTTGCCGTGGCTGCAACCAGTTGCATTGCTGCAGGCGATTGTTTTTCTGCATGATTTTTCAATTCATTGGCAAACGTAGGACAGGACACGCTCGTCCTGTAAGCTGTACGCTGCAGTTAGGTCCGGACATTTGCGTCATGCCTAATGCTTATTATGCACACTTGAACGCTTGCAAATTTATGCGGCAAGCGTTGAGTTTGATGCCAGCAAAGGACTCCATAGAAAGGATTCTCGGCCATAATCGATTTGTTGTTTTTATAATTTTAATTGAAGCCCGGCTTTGGTCTGTGGTCGTGCCAGCATGCCAGGCCAAGCTGGCAGGCTGCAATGTATTTTAGCAATTTCCTAAACAAATATTGCACAAAAGGATCAAAGTGTAAGCTTGTGTGTGTGTGTTGGCCCGCACACTCACACACACACGCATGCACCTGGCCAACTTGCAGCGCCCTGAAATTGCATGCAACATGGAGCCGCTTTGTGGTCACGGCCAACATGTTATGTAATTAAAATGCCTGCCAGACATTTTAGCAACATTTTCAACAATTTCAGCTTAAGCCACTCTTCCTTTGACCTGCACAATTTTAATACTCCTCTTCTTATCGCACTCTTTGCAGACGTTACGAATCTGGACTATGTCAAGGTAAATGCCGAGGCTGGCAAGAACGTAACCATACCCTGCCCGGGGGTCACGGAGCACTCGCTGGTGGACACGCTCGTCTGGAAGACAGCATCAACGACAATCGCACAGTTTGCCAATCGCATACCGTTGCTCCATAGCCCTAGGGTGAGTACGAATCGAAAATATATAAAGTTATTGATTGGATTCCTTAGTTTTTCATTCAGCTTTTAGTTATTAAGGAATATTGCTAAAAGATTTCTTGGCAACTGCAAATGTTTGACTCAAAATTGAAAGAGATCCTAAAAGGTGCAAAGACGATTATTCGAATTTGTAACTTTACCCAAAAGAAATTGCTGCTTCCAGACTTGGAGCTCCCATAACTCTTACAAAACGAAGCTGAAATTTTATTCTTGTCATTGTTAGCCCTCAAGATTAACTTCGAAACTAGTTATAGTTTATACCCAGAACAGTTTTATTTCAGATTTTTATTTCTTGCCTTTTTTTTGGAAGTGACAAACAATTTTTTTGTTGTGAATTTCATTAATCTCATATCGAATGGTCTCAGTAAAAATCTCTGGAGTGCAGTTATAACTCAAATTGCAATCCGACTTTGAGTCATATCAGAATTCATTACCCACTTGCCATATTTCGGCACTTGATGGCCCGGGTGCGGGCCACTTGAGTTGGGCCATTAAATATTTTTGGGCTACTTGTTACAGACAAAATGAAAAGAGAGAGAAAAAATGGCTGTTAAAATAATTGATAGCCAGTTAGTTTCAAGGCGGCTGTTTGAACTTTACCAAACGACAGCGACAGCGACCAAAACGAACAAAAAGAAAGTGCAGCAAAAGTCAGGAGAACTAAGTGGCCATCAGTGGGAGTTCGCAGCCAGCACTGTGCTCAGTGCAGACAGTGGAGCCAATATATTTTTAATGTTTGATAGTTGTACTAAAATAAAAACGACGAGGCGCAAAAATCGTATAAGTGGCTGCCAAGCAGCAGCAGGCAGCAGCTGCCGCCTTAAACGCACTCCGGGGGCCCACTGAGGCGGGGCAAACAAAATGAAGAATGAACAAGTTTCAGCGGCAGTCGGAAGGCACTGCGCCTAGGCAGCAGCCCACTCCTCCACCCCCCTCTTGCAATCGTGTTAAATGGCAAACTGGGACACTTGAGCTGCAGCCAAGCCAAAGTTGGCGCCAAGCTAAGCAGAGTTTACCTGGCTAGCAGCCGCGCACTCGTTCATATTTCTTGGCCAATTTGGCCTTTGCCATTGCTCAATGTGCGGCGGCTGCGCTGCACAGTGGAGCAATGCATGGGCAAAATATTGAAATAAATCGACAGCAGAAACTAATTTGACGAATCGTACGAGCTATCTAGATAGATAGCTAGAAAGATGATGGATAGATATATAGATAGATAGATAGATAGATAGATAGATAGATGGATATATAGATAGATAGATTATAATCGATTACTCAGAAAGCTTGAATTGAACGTATATTTATTTTTGCAAATAATTTTGGCAACTGAAATATTATGCATTTTTTTTTTAGAAGAATATATTTTAGAGGAATATATTTAGAAGAATATTATTAAGATACACAACGACTGCTGCCAAGTTGTATTTTCTTTTGATAAAGAAATAAATTTGAACGATTTCTTCTCACATTGCCGTTGCCAATTGCCCCACTGTGCATTGTGTGCTTTATGCCTGGCTATTATATGTATTAAAAGTTTTTTAGACCGTCGTAGTAGCTGCTTCATTTTATTACAACTGACACCACACATACACACACTCACACACACACACACTCACACACACCTAAGCAGCTATTAACTTTTGTTTTATGGCTGCGGCTAAAAAAGAGAGTAGGAAGAAAATGATTCATGTTCCTGTCGCTGACTGTTATGCAGTTTTAACCCAGCTCAACTCAGCTAAAGATTGTCTAGATGCTATGATGAATTTTCAGCAGCTATCTGGGACATATTATGAGCCCTGTCAGGCGCACAGATTTAGTGCATGTGCAAACAAGTTGGCCCCGAAAATTTGTTGCATGTAATTAAAATCTAGTTGCAATTTACTGCTCGACTGCAGATTGCACTGTAAATTGAAATTCCATTGTGGAAAAATTTGTTGGGGCCAAATTGTTTTGCGGCGAGCAGCTCTTGGTTATTGCTTAATAATCAAATCCAATCGAGCAACAATTTTATGCCACAAGACTGCAGCCAAAGGGCCCAGACGAATATGCTTACAATTTTGTGGCAAAACAAACACACGCACACGTACACATACACACACACTCTTGCTGTAGCTCAGACGAGCATATAATACGACCAGCTAGCCCACACAGATACTTGAGTAGGGCAAATGCATAAAGCTTCTTGGCAAAATATATAATAACAACAAAAAAGCCTATTTGAATACAATGCGATTCCAGAGATTTTCGACAGTGTCAAGTATAAAATCCTTAATAGGTTTTCAAGAAATTATATGATATAAGAACGGCTTGGACATGCGTCCTGTCTGGCTGTACATCATATTAAATGTGTTGCTTTTATAAATGGTTTTTTGCTAGGCGCAAAATTTAAAGTAATTTGCGTGCATTGTCCTCCAATGCACAGTGTGCCCAGGCTCATCTATGAGTCTTACAAAAGCAACAATAAAAACAACAACCCTGTCCATGTGCATCGAAAAGTTATCGTATACGAATACAAATTGTCGTCTGAGTCAAATGTTGATCCAATGTTTGGGGCCATTTAAAGTGCTGGCCATGGCCAACACACAAAACTGGCCCAGACGATAGGTGGACTGCAGCAGGGGGTGCTCGGCCAGGTCGGCTCTGGCAAGAGGGGCGGGCTGTTGAGGAGGCGGGGCGTGTGGTGATGCAGCAAACTTGCTTTTGCTAACTTATTTGTCTTTTGTATTAAAAAGTTTTGTGCAGCCTAAAGTAGAAACTCATGTTGTTCACATTGTTGTCGGCCACTGTCAACGTCTCCATGTCCATTTGTGTTGTTTTCGCTTTGTGCCCCCATTGGACCCCTGCTCCCCCTCCGGTCAGCACGTAACCTCATTTCCCATTCAACCCAACCCTTGTTCTACTTTGACTGCACACGATTGTGACAAATTTGTTTGTTATTCTAACTGATGGCTAGCCCAACATAGTTCAGACATCAAGAGTAGTGTATACTCATAAAAGTTACTTTAGGCTTACTTTCGTATGAAATAATTAAGCACAATTCAATTGATAGTCAACGTGGTTTATTTCTTAATCCATTTACAGATACAACTCTTATCGGATAATTTTGGCTTGCAATTCTCCCCGGCGCTGGCCAGCGACACCACGGAATACATTTGCCTCGTCAACGATCGTCACATACCAGAAGCCATTGTGGATTTACTAGTCCAGGGTAAGTTTTGTTGTAGAAACAACTCGGTTGTAGGTGCAAATAGTAGAAATCCGAGTAGATTTCTGTTCAACAAAAATATTGTGTCGTTGCTTGTTCTTTAATCAAACACAAATGTCCTCAATTAAGGTGTACTTAATTATGTTTTTTTTTGCCTATTTTTTTCTTGACCCAGAATAGAGAACAAAACAGAATTTGATATTATAAACCTGACAGCTCTTTTTATAATTCCTCTTGTTTCTATGGCAGGCAAATTAACTTCTGTCCGTTTTAGTCTCCTAAGAGCATAAAATTAGAAGAAAAATTAAGCAATTAGCAAAGGAAAAAAATAGTTTCAAATCTATTTAAAAAAGAAAATTATTATATCTTTTATAAATAAATGAAAATTATAGATACTTTTTCAATTTTCGCTATCTTGTAAATTCAAAATATATTTCGATATTCCGTTTTAATAACCTGATAAAAGAACAGAATCTAATGAAGTATTTTCATGAACTAGATCTATTTATTATCTCAATTAAGATGTTTTAGCAACGGGATTCAATTTTGGTTTAACAAATTCTTCTGATTCGTTTTCATGCATTTATTTTTTGTTTCTTTTTCTTTTCTTTTTATATGCGCCATTTAATGAAAGCCATAACAACATTAATGATTTATCCGGTTTCCTTCCATTTTGGTGATTTCATTTGCAGTTATATATACATATGTGTGTATGTGTGTGTGTGTGTGTGTGTGTGTGCACACAATTTCGATTTTCTCACCACACACCCGCACACACATGCACATACACACGTACGCGTTCTTGTCATGATTTCCATTTGCATTTCACTGATAGCTGCCAGTTTTTCTCGTGTGTTTTTCTCTTTTTTTTTACCATTCTCGCTTTCTCCTTCGATTGCAGATGTGCCCGATCCACCGGAGCGTCCTTTGTTAATAAGTTTCACATCACGCTCCGTGAACTTATCCTGGGCGCACTCCCAACATCCACGGAATGCGCCGGTGACGCATTTCATTATTGAAACTCGGTAAGTACAGCATTCATATGTATAGCTACATAGGTCGAGTCCTTTAAGTCAGCACAGCTGTCTTTCTGCCTGCCTGTATGTATGTGTGTCTGTGTGATTTGTGTGTGTGTGTGTGCATGCCACAGCTGTAACCGTTCTGATTTAGCGCGCTTTAAGGTCTAATGTCAGTTGGACTAGATATATATCCAACATAATTATCCTTGTACTTATCATCATCATCTTGGGCCCATAAATCGCTGTGTGCCACGCCCGCGGAAACGGGTTCAGTGGGCGCCTGATGCATGGCTCCTTTGCCTTCTTTTGTCTTTGTCTTGCCAATGCAAACGCAATCAATTAAAATCATGCGTTTATTGCTTTCCGCTTGCCGCTCTTTGATAAATCCTTGTGCAGATATTGCAGCTGTCATGCCCCCCAGTGCCCCTTGCATCCACTTGCAGCTGCAAGGCCTTTAATTAATATGTGAAGCGTTGGCTGTGATATGCGCGCAAATACACAAGGATACGCACTTCACTTGTGCTCCATTTAAATAGAAAAGAAAACACGCACACACACGCACTTACACACACAGGCACACCCGCTCCTGCAGCGGCTATTTTCCGAATAACTTGAACTCAATGCGCGGCATGAAATAAAAACGATTGCCGCGAGCGCAATACAAAGGCCAGCAAAACGAGTATGCGGAAAAACTACTGAAAAGCGAAACTTTTTCAATAAATTCCCATCATCAGCAGCAGCAACAGCAGCAGCTGGCAGAGGGCAGTGGGTAGGAGGCAGGGGGCGTGCCGAAGGGGGGCACAAGACACTGGGGCCGGCAATCGATGACAGGCAACTGAAAAGCAAGCAGAGCCTGTGGTGCATTTATGCAAAATAAGAAATAACCACACACACGCACACACACACACACACACACACACAAGCGCGCGCGAGTGCCTGCCAAGCGCTTATTCACATGCATATACATATATGTAGCATACTTTTTTGGGCATGCACAAAATGAAGCTGACGCTGACGACGACGCTGACGACGACGACGACGATGGCGGCGGCGACGGCGACGCCGACTGCATTTTATGCAAATTCTCCCATCGATGTGAAGTGATGTGAAGTGTAGCTTGAGTTGCTGTTGTTGCTGCTGTTGTTGTTGTTCGTGTTGCACGCGCCGCTGTTGCTGCCACAGAGCACGCCTCTTATTTACATTTTCGCTTGATTCGGTTTATTTGCGCATATGCATACCCACTGCAGAGAGGGCTGGGTATATCGGCCCTTATAGTGCTTGTGTATTATGCGGCAGATATATTTTGAGTGCTCGCGCGCCGCCCCGTAAATTGAAAGACGATGACAACGAAGTGCTTCAAGCTGGAAATCTCGTCTCGCAAATCCACACACACACACACACACACACACACACACACACTGAATGCCAATGCAATTGAAATAAGAGTTCAGATGGTAAGTGGAGGGAGGTGTCAAGTGAAAGGGGCGATTGCATGCCTCAAAACAAGTGGCTGTACGTTAATGCGAGCCATAAATTGTATAACACACACACGCACACTCACACGCACACACACACACCGACGCACAGCCATATCTGTGAGCGGTTATTGTGTTTGAGGCCAAACTTTTATATGTTTCGAATGGATGGTTGTTTTCGCATCTGTTTCGAGTGCTGTTTACAGTTGTGTAAAAGTGTCAATTTGTGTTGATTTTAATACCCTGGAAATGCCAATTGCTTAAAAATGGGTTGTATAAAAAACAACGCAAAATGAGACTCGTTTAATATATCTATATCTCGAGCTGTCAATATCTTTGAGTTCTTCAACTTAACTATTCGAGCTCTGAAATTTGGCATGCGAGTTTTTGTATTCTATATAAAATAACTTTCAACAACAGACCTTTCGATAACTCCCACCTTCATCTACACAATATATAGGAATCGATGAGGTATAGCTTCCATTTGAGGAAAAACAAGTAGATCCTAGAGCTCATCGGAAGAATAGACAACAAATTTGGCGTCTAGTTTTCATCCCCATAAATAATACGTAGCACGCAGATCATATTCAAATATTTAAAAATAGAGCCTCAAGTTTTGGGTATATATGTTAACACTTTTTTAATATATTTCATGATTTAGTTAAGAAGCAAGTAGTTAAAATCAGATTATAGGGTATCTTCTCTAGGCAAGCACTTGATTTCTTGTTGATTTTGATGCAGTTTGTACACACACACTCACACACACACACACACACACACACACACACACACACACACACACACACTCACGTACACACACGCACACAGCAATGCATATTTGGCAAATGACATCACATAGGAAATAAAAGTAAAATTCAATCATAATTTTAAGTGCTCTTCGTTGATTTATTGGCCTAGGAGTGAACCAAAAAAAGTATATGAATAAATAAAAATGAACTTCATGTTGTTTTTAGTGAGTTTTTTGCTTTGAATTGCCACAGCTTTAATATTAATTAATTAAACACAACGACAAACGATTTTCTCTTAATGTTTTCTAATTGTAATTGAACAATGAACAAAATAATTAAATAATGCGAAAAATTTGTGGCTGACAGTTGGCATTGTAACTGTACTTAATTGTAAATAATTTCTGCGCACATTCAATAGAAATAAAATAATTATTATAATTATATTTGTTATATATATTCAATACATACGCTTGTTTGCCAGCCAAACACAACAAAGTGCGCCCAATTGTGAGCTCATTTGAAACATAATGAAATATTTTCAAATATTATAATAGAGTATTTTTGACCCGTCCCGCCAGCACAGTCTCATTTTCTATGCAGTTCATTGTGCATATTTCATGTAGTTGCTCAGCCGCAAAATACAACATTTTTGCCTCTTTAAACAAGTCGTGCGTGAACTTTGGCCCTGGCCATGCAAATCACACTCACACACGCACACACACGCCCACAAAACACATAAGCCATATGCTAAGAGCGGCAACAAAAAAAAAAAAAATGTTAAACGGCTTACAACAAAAAATTGTGTGTGTATTTTATACCGATTCACATACACAAACACACACACTCGCACACTCACGCAGTCTTGTTGTGCGGCCGCAAATTTATTTGCCACTGCGGTTATTTTGCCAGTTGTTGTTGTTGTCGAGCTGTTTTTTTAGGCGCAGCACATTTTTTACAAGTTGCTGCCGCCCATTTTTCATGAAGTCGCCAAAACTTTTTTCCAGTGTGTGTGTGTACAGTCAAGCCCCTGCCAACACCACCACCCCCACCCGCCCACATTGAGCAGCAGCTTGTATTCATTTTAACAAAATGTCCATTCACAATACACACACACATGTGACACACACACACACACACAAACAGATACACACAGACGCGCGCAAGTAGTGCGAATGCGGCTGCCCACTCGCATTTATTAATTTTAATGCTTTTTGAAGCAACTTGAAAAAAATGTTTTTCGCCCATTTTCTTTTTTATTGATAGTCAAATATATTTATTTTATTTATTTTGTGTGTCCGCTTTTGGTCGCATCTCATATTTAATGCATTTTTAATCACACATAAAAGCTGCGACCCCCTTTCAACTCGTGCAGCTGACGCCGTGCATAAGCCCTAATAACATAATGCGGGCACACACACACACACACACAGCACAGACACATGCGTGAAATTTATGCATGATACTGAATTTTTGGCAACTTTAAATAAAATTTACTGCACTTTGATATTGGTCATGAAAAATGCTCATTCGGCGGCCGCTGTTATAAATTTATGCGGCACAACCGACGCCAACGAAAACAAAAAATATAATAAAGGATAAACCCAAAAAAGGAACTTTAACTAGGGCTTGCCACATGCCGAATTAAATACCCTTGCAAGCATATTAACTAAATTAAATCATATTAAATGATCGAGAACGCCATTAAAAGCTTAACAAAATTATACAATTTTTCACATATTTGGCACATTCTTAGAAACCCAAACTCCAGCCTAATTCCTGCAACAATTATGCAGAGTTTTGTATGATTAGCTAGCATAAGGCAGGTTTGCCTGAAATATCATTTTTAAGATTCATATTTTATGCATTTTTCAAACGAAAATCATTGTGAAAACTTAGCTTGCGAGCTTTAGCTGACTTTATATTACGCAAGTCAAAAGTAAATATGTATCATCATGTGCCTAAAATGTACCCTTAAGCGTTACATATTTAATTACAAAACGATAATACCCAATGATCGGGTATAAAAACAAAAATCTAATAAAAATTTGTTGCTATTTCTAGCATGTGTGCGTGTGTGTGGTAAAAAGCGCATAAATATTTTAGTAGCCATGGCAAACGCTCGCATTTTATGTGCTGCAAATCTCGTCCCCTACATAGGCGACGCCCATGTATTTTCATAATGCATTTGTTGCCTATATTTTATGTTAATCCCCCAGCGGATGGGCTTTTAAAAATGTATTTCATATAAATGAGGTACAAAAAATATTTAACATTGCATTTGCAGGTGTCAATTGAAGCAAACGTAATAAAGATTAATAAATTTTGGCATATCATTTATTTAGAAGGCAAAAACTATTCCAAATACAAACAAAAAAAAAAACAAACAGTCGAGCGAGTGCAAAGAGCATGTTATGCAAATGAATAAATTATAAATGAACTGGTAACTGATTGTGTATTCTATTTTGTTTTGTTCTTGCAGCGAGGGCGAGGATGGTATCTGGGATCAAGTGGCTCGCATCTACACAAGAACGAATGCAACCTCATATCAGGTGACCGGCCTGACGCCCTTCACCGTTTACAGTTTTCGTCTGTTGGCCGTTAACAAGCTGGGCATCAGCCCCCCCTCAAAGGAGTCCTACTACATTGTGACGCTGCGCGAGGGTGAGTATATATGGAGGCTAGCCTGGTATGGCCCATTTTATGATAGGCTGACGTTAACGGTGACTCACATCAATTACCAGACGGCCTGACATGACACTTTTTTACAATCGCATTAAATTTTCATTTGAATTTTATGTGACGGCGCGGAGTTGCACCTGCTTTAAGTGCCGCCCATGAAAAGTTGTGACCTCATAAAAGCGCCTGCTGTTAAGCCTTATGTGCATTTAATTATTTTAACGCCAAACGCGTGTGAGTGTATATATATATACATGTGTGCGTGTGTGTGTGTGTGTGTGTGCACATTAAGCTACAATTTGGTGAATGGGCGTGGCAGCTGTTGTTAAAGTTGCAAACCGAATTGACAAGCCGCAAATTGACAAATATTGCCAGCTAAACAATGACACACATACTCAGTTGCTGTTGCAACTTTACATTTGTTGCATGCTGCGTGTGTGTGTGTGTGGCACCTGCTGCTTGCGGCATGATTAATTGTTGCCTACTTTTAGGCAAAACTGAAAGCTCGCCAAGCCAACGCACTTTTTCATAGGCTACGCTCATTAATCACAGCAAAAGCTGCGTGCAGCTTGCCACGCCCAGTCCACCCCCCTTTCGTGCCTCTCTCAGTCATATATTTCCAACTGGCGACAGCGACAAGCTATTAGCAACACATTTGTCTTAGAAGCCACACAGAATCCAAATGGCAAGCCTTGGGGCATGAAATTCCATTTGTGCCACACACACGCACACAATATTGAAAGGCGTGGCAAGAAGCAGCTGCTGCTGCTGCAACACATGCGGTTGCAAATTAGTCAATAGTCTGCGGCCTGAAGCTCATTAACAGCCAGCCGCCACGGACACGACGCCGGCGGCGGCGGCGGTTCTGGCCAATTTGTATAAATTAAGCCGGTGGCATGCAACATTTAGGCCAAGTATTCAATTTACAGTCAATGGAAAATTTCTTTGAATTTATTTATATGCTACTTGCCAAGTTGCCAAGTGACAAACTTGTCCGGCTGCCCCCCCAGCTGATTGCGCGTCCAACTCCAGCAAATCCGACGGAGCAGCTCACCTGCCCGTCAGGAGTTGTGGCACGCACCATTTAACTTGATGCGACAGACGCGGCACCACGGGGCACAGCAAATCTCGTGGGGCTTAGGGCACTTGCAACTTATGTTGCGTGACAGTGACAACCTGACAATGCCACACAGACACAGAGACACGGACGAGACGAGAGACGAGAGCAACTTTGCCGTGCGGCAATTTTAATTTGAAATTTTTGAGTTTACGCCAACTTTTTGGCAACCGACACAAAAAAAGTTTGCACCAACGTCTGCTGGCTCCGCTCATGCTTTCGATATGAATTTGAATTTTGATTTGGATTTGAATTTTCTCCCGTTTTTCCTCTCTGCAGCGCCCACGGGCAAACCGATACCGACGACGGCGCACAACACATCCTCCAGTTCGGTGTACATCTCGTGGAAGCCGCCGGCGCCGGATACCATTTTGGGCGAGTTTCTTGGCTATCGCATTACATATCGTCCACGCGATCGCAATCCCAACGATACCAAGGAAATCTATATACGCGATAATACAGTGGAGGTAAGCGTGCTTCCACGCCTTTAACATAATTGAATTTCCACAATTTCTGACACTTTTCCATATTGAAAATGCCAGCAATAAAAGGGGGGACTCTGCATAACGTGCCACATTCGATATCCATTTCGGGTTCGTGCCACCGGGTGTCTGTTGCCATCTTCAACAAAATGCCCGCTTTTCAATTGGCCCAAGGTGTGCGCCACGTTTTGGGGCGCCACATCATGCAGAGCGTCGCGACGTATTAAAAAGTAATTTACACCTGCCGACAAAAGGTGTTTTTCTCACAGCCACGCCCCCAGCTCCCAGCTGCGGCATATGCTAACAACGAAATACAAGTGTTGCAAAGGGAGGTGGGGAGGGGGCACAATTTACGGTTAGGGTATCTCTTGTAGTGGTCGCTATCAGAAGCAATTTGTTAACGATTAGTCGCCAACATTTTGGACAAAGTTTGCGTCAGGTGTGTGTGTGTGTGTGTGTGTGTGTATGTCACTTTTATCTTTCGAAATACCAACACACGCGATGGCACTAATGAAGTGTGGCAATGTTTGAGACATTAATACATGCGGCTAACCGTTTACGGCACGTGCCACCAAACATGCCACTCGGGAATACCTTCGGGTTAACCGCAGGCTAAAAGCAACGTCTAAAGGGCGTAGGAATTTTGGAATTTATGCAACTACTTTCGAGACAAAATCACAGCCAACTCGAGGCCCACACCCACACAGTCCCACGCGCAGACCGACACGAAATGAACCAAAGGCCACTAATGGAGCTCATTTTCAATGTTTAATGCGCAGATTTTTCAATTTACGACCCCTTTTTAATGCACGCTGCCCCAGGGAAATGGATGAAGGTGAAGTACCTTCAGTGTAGGCAATAAACATGGGCAGATATCCTGGGAAATACAGCATCGACTTGGATAGCTTTCTATCTCCTGCCGAGGCTAGATCTTTAATTGTCCTCAGGGAACTCTGGTTCTGGTAGAGCTAGAGCTATTCAACTGAATTAAAAACTCTCCCAGTTCTATGCAGGTAAAAAAAGTTAATACAACTTTGAGGACGTATACCAAGATTATTTCTTTCTGTCAAAAAATAGAAACTAGTTTTCTTTCGACTTCTGTATCGCATTTTGTCAGCTTTCCAACTTCAGCTGAGTCTAGTTATTTAAACAATCTCATACGTACTCGGGCTCCTGTATTCTTCCAGTGCGATTGCCTTGGGCTATGGGCACATACATACATACTCGTTATAAGAATCTTAGAAGCAAACGACTTCTGTCTGTTAATGCATTTATCTGTTTCCCTTCCTGCCACATCAGAGCCTTTCGTACACCCAGAAAAGTCAGATATTCCAGAAGCTAGGCACTCAAAATTGCGTATTCAGCTGAGCTGCAGCATGTGCATATAAAAAAAAAAATTTAATGCATATTTAAATCAACCGAAATATGTTTTAATAATAGAGCTTAAAGCTTTGGCTAATTTCCGCTTTAAGTAGATGGCTCAATAGAATTTGCAGCGAAAATGTCAACTATATGCCGCACCCTCAATGCCATTTAAGCCAATAATATGCAGCGCATGGAATGCATTTTTGAATTTTCACAATTTTCAATGGAAAACCGTGCCAAAACGGGAGCCGGGGAAGAGTTCGCAAAATATGCAAAAATTATTAGCGATAATGCTCACGTACGACACTCGACGCGACGCAGTTGCCTAAAATGCAAAAAAAAAAAAACGGGTAGATAAAAAAAACTATGCCAACGCATTGGGCATAGAGGAAGACTTGGGGGGAGCAGGCGGCAGGGGCGCGTGCAGGGGCTTGTGCGAGGTTCCGCTGATAGGGACATGGCACGCTTTTGTGCTTGAGTGCATATTTTGCAGTTATCTAGACGCTGGACCCGCTGGCTAAACGAAGCTGAAGCTTTGCGCTCTGCCATTCTTTTATTTTATTTTAAAATTTTCTTTTTTTGCATGTCAGTGCGAAATGTTGAAATATTATCCTTGCAGGCAGAAACGTGCGACTTCATGTTTTTTGTAAGTCCCGCTGAACTGGAGGGCATGCCCATGCCTCGACCCGCTGCCGTAAGCTGTCAGAGAGACCGGCAAAGCCGGCAAGCCCGGCTAGCCCGGAACCCTTGGTATTCTACGCTACATTGAGCTGTCACGTGTGAAAGCGCCTCGAGTCCTTGGCAGGACTATCGTTGGCTTGCCAGCTTGCTGGCTTACAATTTTGCCAATTTTCTAATTAAAATTTCTGCGCCGTAAAGCATAAATTTTGCTCGTTTTACGCCGTGCGAATTTCCACACAAAAGCCACCAAGTGAAAACTAAACCAAACCGTGTAAACTTTGTGCCACTCGCCAATGTTGATAGCATTTTTCGGCGCAGCTCAAAGGATATGCAGATGTGCGGCATGTGGCAAGCAACACAAATTTGTACCACATAGTTGTATGCTCTTCTTCTTCTTCGTCTTCCTCTTCTTTTTGTTGTTGTTGCTGCCGCTGTTAATTGTTGTTTGAGTTTCGCTTTACACCTTTTTGACTAGCTGCTAGGGCAACGCCCAGAACACACGCACACACAAGGGTATCGGTTGCGCTGCTGCTGCCAGGCAAAAGTTTTAATGATGCGCCAGTGTTGGGCAATGCACTAATTACCAGCTTTACGTCACAGCTCTGTTCGAATCCATGCAACCACATTTAACACTCTGAGCGCCAAAGCGAAGAAACGAGCACATTTTGGGCCTGGCGAACATTTTTATCTGCACTTTGAATTGATTGATCTTCGCTTAAAATGTTACAATAGTCCTGTGAAAATGTTGCTAACAGACAGAATGAATGAAAGTACAGTGAAAAGTCTTTCCACGGACAGTCAGGGCATCTGCTAGTCGGACAATTGCAACTGGCTTTAAGATCAATTTAATGCAGCCAAAAGTCGATATTTCCTCTTCCTCCCCACTATCAAGAGAGCAGACACTTTTCGATTGACTTAAGCACAATAATTAAACTGTGAACAGAGTATTGGACAGTTGTTGGCTGTCCTGTGGGTTTGTTTTTCTGGCAATTTATCATGCTTTTAGCCAAGCACACACTCGACTCTATCAATTACATTATATCAATTAACTGCTTTTGGCCAACTTTGGCGGCAGCCGCATAAAAGTGGCAGCAGTTGTAAATTTCGGGCCTCATTTACTGTGGCCACTCGACTGGCGACTACATAAAATGAAATTATATGGCGGCATTAGCGCCGACCAAGGGCAACTAGCACACGCGCACACACACACCAACATACAGCTGGTCAAAAAGATGTGCGCTTGTTGGTTGTTAAATCAAAGCGCTTGTTGGCCAACTCTGGCGCCTGGCAGCCACTTAAGCTTTTGGCATGGCAGTCAATCCGTTTCTAAGCACACACACACGAACACAGAGAGAGGCTCTAAGCTAACCGCTTTGCGGTCCAGCACAGCAGCAGAAACAACAACAACAACAACAACAACAACAACAACAACAACAACAACAACAAGTACCGCAGAAGGCAGCGCTCTAATGTATGCAACATAAATTGTGTTTGTTGTAGCCAGGCAGCCATTTTGAGCTTAACTACAGCTTGTATGCATGCATGCATGTGTAAGTGTATGCGTGTGTGTGTGTGTGTGTGTGTGTGTGTGAGCTGCTCAAAGCCAGCGGCTTGTTTTATGGTTTCGCACTGCTTTTGACCTTACGTTAAATTTTAATAAGCCGCACCCGCCCAGGATATGCTGCTACATAAGTAGTTTTTGCTGGGCTTCCCGTTGCTCAAAAAGAGGCGGCGCCCGCGGGCGGGGCAGTATCTATTGGCGCATCCTTCTATCAAAGGCTGTACGGCACCCGAATTCTTATTTTGTAATGAGCTAAACTTTTAACTGCACTCCTTGCCCTTAAACAGTGTCCTAAAACACTCTAACAAAATGCTTGAAAAAATCGGGCTTTTGTCAAATTCCATAAGTTATATTTTCTTAGATAAATAAATATTAAATAAATACCTATTTCTAAAAACGGACTTTCCTTTTCCCCATTTCTCTTTTTTCACTTTGTTGTTATATTATTGCTTTTAAACTTTTCCAAGCGAAAGATTTTCACAAATATATTATATACATATGAAGGGGCATGTTTCTGTATGATCGATTTGAGCTTTGGAAAAAATGCCCGCACGGCAGAGTTGTTGTTAGCCAAAGCCGTGGCAAGTGTATTGGGACAAGAAATATTTTGAGCCAAAGCCTGGCTTTTTGCCAATGGAAGGTCAGACTCAAATCTCTTTGGCAACATTTCCTTAAGTAAACCAAAAAGTAAATAATAATAATTTTTAAATTATGGACACCTTCAACCAAATCTTGGCTTCGTGAATGAGCTGGGCCAGCAGGTTCGAGCCCCGAGTCAAACAATCGATGCATATATTTATTTATTTTTTTGACTTGCAGCACTTTTTTTATATGCACATGTGTTCGCTTGTGCAGGCTGCCTGTTTGTTGGCCTCGCAACTCAATTTCCTTAATATTTTGTTGTTGTGCCACGCGCTGCAGCAAATACATTTTTAACGTCTGCAATTTTACATACGTGCAAACATATTTGCCAGACGACGCACAAACTTGTGCAATGCGCAATTTCCGCTTGAAGCAGGCTGCGGCAGAGAAGGTGCAGCAAGGGAATGGCAGCGGGGCTAGCAAAAGAAGCTCCTCTGCCTTTTAAGTGCTACGCATTTTATACGAGTGTATGCATTTATTTATTTTTTTTTTATTATTAATTTCCTGGTCTTCGTTTTCTTTGCAGAGTCATGAGATTCAGAATCTGCAGACCTACACGCAATACAAGGTCACCGTGCAGGTGTTTAATCCGGAGGGCCTGGGCCCGGAGACAACCATATTGGTGATGACCGATGAAGGAGGTGAGTGCTCCATTTATCTAGAATATTAAAGAAGATGGCTTGCATTTAAAATTATAAAGAAGAATTTTAAAGGTGCATTTTACAGAACACTCAGTTAAATAGTTCTTGGTAGAACATTTTCGGATTTAATTTCTCGCTTACTTAAATTCTTCTTCCGAATTCTCGCTTGACTCGTGCTCAATTAAAGTTCGTCCAAGCAAGAAGTATATTGGAAATACAGATTGCAGCTTTCTACTAAAGGGAAAGTTTTTTTTTTTTATCAAATACCACATGTCATGCACGAAATATGAAATGCAGCCACTTGTTTTGCGTTCAAAGGCGCATTTTACGGTTTTGCTGGCAGCTGCGATTTTTGATTTATCTGTGTGGCAAGTTTGAGTCTTCAGCTGGCTTATGCACAACTATTTCGCACATATGCAAAATGCAACTGCTTATTGAAATGCCAAGTGACCAGAAAGTGACCAGGCTACACGATTCAGTTCATATATTCTCATACTTGCTGCAACAATAAAACAACAACAACAGCAATAAAAGTATAAAGCAGCAGAAGAAGACGTGCAACAATAAACAGAAATCGCTTTTGTGTGCGGTTTTCCAAGCTCGGTGCTTAAAAACTAAATGAAGAGTATATTAGACTTTCATGTTCGTTTGATGAAAGTCTACAATTTTTGCCACGCCCTCTTAAGTTTGCAACTTCTTAAACTTTATACATAGTTATCTAAACTTTACACTTTATATATGGTCTCCGAAACAGAAACCCTTTCTATGCAGTCATATTTATTATCTTTAACATTCAAGAAGAGATACATTTAGAAAAATAGAGTAGTTGCTCAGCCGGCTAGCAGCTGGAGTTTTCTTAGCCAGTTTCGCTTACTTTCTCGCCCGCTCAACAAAATTTCTCAGTTTAAATGGAGAAAGAGCTGAGGCTTTGACTCGCTCGACCGCAAAATGTCTGTGCCATGCAATGAGGCAAACAAATAAAAGTTGAGTTAGACCAAACAGAGGCAAAAATATGCTACAATTTCTCATATTTCTTTGAGCAGCTGCAGCTGCAGTGTGTCTGTGTGTGTGTGTGTGTGTGTGTGTGTGTGTGTGTGTGTCGGCAACTGTATTGGAATCGAGCATAAATAAAAATTGCTTACTTAAACTTTTGCCATATGCTGCGTACTCAGCACAACAAATCGAGGCAAAAACTGTTCAGGCATATCTTTTATGCGCCACGTTGCGCCATCTCCAGCTAGCCAACTTTCCGCCCCTTTCCCGATTTTCCTTTCCATTTCCACGTAACATTTCTACATTTTTTTCTTTTTTTTTTTGGAGAATTTGTTTTGTTGGCGCGCTCCAGCGTGGATTTCCGTTGCCGTCTCAGTCTGAGGCACAGACGCCGCCAATAACGGAAATCCACCGACTCCAGACGCCGGCCACTGCGTGGGTGGTGCAAGCGGCAGGGTGGTGGGCAGGGCAGCGGGAATGGGCAGAAAGGCCCTTATAATTCGGTTATGAAATTTGAATCGTCTTAGGTAAGGTAACATATAATCCGGCTAAGTAAAACAAGTTGAGAGTACAAAAAAATTACTTTCAAGTCGTCTTAATTATCAGGAATATATATAATATTCATATCTGTCAGCCTTAAGTCAGCATTAGGCACATAGTTCCATTGGCTAGAGCCTAGCTAACATATATATTCATAACTGAGAAGCAGCTAGCCTATATCATCGCATCATCATCTCACGAATCTATCAATTAGTATAAAGCTGTCAAAAATTAAGTTTTTATATGGCAAACAGTTCTGTTTTTTATACCCTTTTGCTTGGTAAGCCTCGAAGGAGATATATCTGATTCCATAAAGTATATATATTCTAAAATCAGCAGCAACTGATGGGTTTTCTATATTCTCAGAATTTATCTGCAAAACCCTAGGTCATGTGTAAGAATATTAAAAGTTCGGCGTACCAAGGATATTCTTACTTTCTCATCTAGGCTTTGCTTCACAAGTCTTCCAGCATATCTGCAAATCTTAATCAAATCGGACTGTAATATTGAATGGTCTCTATAGCAACAATTGCCCGGACTTAGCCATATGCCTTGTGGGGCTATTTATCTTCGTCGCGTCGAGGCTGGCTTTGCGACTTGGAGGCTATGCCAACAACATGCCCGAGAGTGTATTTTTTTTTTGTGAGACAATAATAGCTTTTATTTGCAGGCTTTATGTTTTGATGGCTTTTCCTTTTTGTCAGGTTTTAATATCGTAAAGTCGACGCTAAGCTGCTCAGTTGGGGCAACTCGCAACTCTTTGAGTGAAAAGTCTTAAAGAAAGTTGAATGCTTAACGCATAATTAGCATAAAATTCTGTCGAAAATCCGCTCAGCAGCAGCTGAGGTTAGCCTCGCCTCGGCTGCAGATGAAGAGTATCAGGGCAGAGCATTGTATAATGAGTAAATATATAAGTATAAGAAAAAGAAATATATTTCCGCACATAAAAGTGCAACTTTTTAGTACACACATTTCGGGCTAAGGTAAACATGTGCAAATGAAATCTGAGATATCTTTACCAATGCGAGCGAGCGCAGGTTAGATGATATAGGGCTTACTTTCCCAAAAGCAGATTTGTTTGCTTTTGGCAGAGTATTTTCTTCATTTTATTTATTTTTTTTTTTTGGTAACATTTTCATAAGCGCCTTTTCTGCTGCAGAGTTCACTTGCAAAATGTTCGCAGCTGGCATAATTTTGTAATTTCATTTCATTTCACATTTTCTTCTTTATAAATTTTCCTTTTTTTTTTGTGGGTTGGAGGAGGGTGGGGTGAACTGCCAGGTGCAGACAGGCAAGGCTTTCAGGGGATTTGCAGCGGCTTAGTCGACAAGTTTAAACAGCTGTGCAGGATGCGGCTCGGGATGTAGATGGGAATAAGGATGTGAATAAGGATGCGAATGCGAATGCGGCTTGCCTTGATGAGCTTGGCAACATGTTGGCTATGCCTTTGACAGACTTGATTAATTAGCAGTTAGTAGGCGCGCACTCTCGCACACACACACACATACACACACAGACATGCACTCACAGACCTTACTCAAATCATATTTCATGAATTTCATTTTCATTTTCTGCGTGCCTTTTGCTGCTGTTCGAAATCCAATGCCAGCCTGTCTACTGCTGCTGCTGTGTGTGTGTAGCATGCCACAAGACCTCCTGGCCTGGCCGCATGCGGTGAACATTATGAAGCCTTGCGGCACAGCTTAGCGAGCGGCCAGTGCCTCGCCCTGCAATAAACATGCTTGCCGTGTCCCTTGACTGAAGGGCCCAGCGAGTCGGCAAGTGATAATGCCTTCAGCTGTCCCGTTGCGTTCTGACAAAAACAAAAAATAAAAAAACGATAGACAAAAAATGGAGGCGTGCCGAAGTTTCAATGCCCTTACATTTTACGACCTCAAGTAATTTGATCTTAGCTAAGAGCTTGTTATGTAGTTGTATGAGGTTTGATTTATTAATTGGTTTCTTAATCGATTTTTTCTAAGATAGCTATATGATATAGTAATTCGTTTTTGATGCTTCTAAGAGTTGTTTTAAAAAAAAAAAAACCTATTGCATAATTCAATTTATTATGCCCTCTTCAGAAGAGGTCGAGTGACCAGCTCAACCCACCTAACCCAACACTCTATTTGATATCTAAGCTAGAGTCGTTCGCAAAGTCACCCGATTACATAACCGGAGGACTGCGTCCCTCTCAAAACAGTTGAAGACCGTTAGATAAATAGATAGATAAATATATGGGTGTATGGTTAGCTACTTAGTCAAAACTAGGACAAATTGTTTGCCTCGGTTGCTCAGGAAAGAATTCTGCTTAATTATTTATTATCTTATTTAGATACGCTCAGCTAAATCCGGATCAATTAGATATGTGCATAAGATATGTAGTCTGCTTTTTATCCAAGCATGACATATTGCCTTACAATTTTTGGATACCCTACCCGTTAGGGCATCTAACAAAGGGACACGTGGCAGCGGCAATTGCAAAGCAATTCCAAAGGCTTCACTTATTTCGCTTTTATTCGATATTCCTCTCAGTTGTTGTTCTTCTTGTTGTTGTTGTTGTTATTTTTGCTTTTATTGTTATTGTTGTTGTTGTTGCCAGCCTGTTAAGTCCTGCGCTGTGCACTTTGACTCCGGCTTTGATTAAAATTTTGCCACTTGCCTTTTACAGTAGCTGCTGCTGCTGCGTTTTAACTTTTGACATTGACCCGGCTACGGCTCGGGCTACGACTCCGACTATGACTTCGGCTTTTCACTGTGCGCTGGCTACGGCTTTGGATCGCCTTGCACTTTAGCCGGCATACGCACTAGAATTTCATTTTGTAACCCTCGGCATGTGCTTTGTGGCAGGACAGACTCGTTCTCGTCCTCGTCCTCGGCCTCGGTCTCGGTCTCTCGGCTCAAACGGCTGCAGTTGTGCGATTGCCACGCCCCGTAACGCTTATCCCGGACAGGGCAGCACGATTCCAAGTGGGCATAATAGCCATGTGCCCTGAGCCATGATAACTTCGTTTCATTTTCATTTCACTTGCATAGTCTTACTTTTGGTCAAGTCTTACATTGTGCCACTTGATGGCACTCAACATTGTTGCTGTTGTTGTTTTTTTTTTCCGGCCAACTTTGACTTTAACGCGTCATGTTTCAGGCACCAAAAAAAAATAAAAGAAAACAAGCCAGTTGGTTACATTCCCGTCTCAGACATGGCCTAGGCATTTCTTCGCTTTTACTGTCTTATCCTCTGTTGGGGTCATATCAAAGGCCAGACGCTGCAGGTGTATAAGTGTCAGGTGTTAGACGACTATTGCTGACCCAATGTCTTGACTTTTATTTTAGTTTGTCTTTCTGCTTCCTAGCAGAAAGTTTTCCATACAGATAAGCTGACAAATGTATTAGAAGCCCGCAAAGCTTTTATCTACAGTTCAAGGAACTGCGAAATGTTCAGCTTAATTGTATGTCTGGTTTGTTCTTGA